TTCTGTGCGTGTGTTTGTCACTGAACTCCTCCTAAGCGGCTGGACCGATTTGAATGATTTTTTGAAGTTATACTGCTTTAGGCGCGTTATGAAAAATTGATGAGAGTGAAATTTTACGTTGCGCTACGTTTACCTTGACACAAAATTAACAGAATGAAGTTGCCCACTAAATCGCTCATTACAATACGACCGACGTAACTTGGCGAGTCTGAATATAGCCGCAGGTGAACTTTCCGAACCGTACAGAGAATTACCGAATTTATACGATGTCAAGAAAAGGGATGTCCAATATGCGTGTTTGAGGATGTTGTTTAATCGATTTTTTTTCAAATTGATTAAAATTTAAATGAAAAAAAAAGAAACAAATTTAATAAAAATAAAGTATAACTTCTTACGCGCGTACGTAAGTACACGCACCCATTTTTTTTTTGCGTTTGGGTGGCATCGTGGATGGTTTAGATTCACAAATCAGCCCGGCAGATGGCGCTGCAGTCGGTATTTAGATTATTTATCTATACTACAACTAAACGGCAGGATCGACTCGAATGAATTTGTGTAAGACAACGTCTGTCGGGTCCGCTAGTCATATTATAATTGTTAATACTCGAGAACTGAACGCAAACCAACGCAATTTTCAGGATGGCGAGTAATCCTTGTATTTTTTGGTCTGTTCGGGACGGTAGTCGAGGCACGTGGAGCCAAAAGCCCCAGGATAAGCCTCTTAATGGGTAATTTTCTGACCGAAAACTCTTAGAATGTTTCTTTTTTCACAGTCAAGTAAAGGTTTTATTCGTTAGGGCAGTTCAATTAAGAAAAAAGAATAATCTGGCTTTTAGATATTTACTAAAAGCTGTTAACTTGAATTGTACGATTTTTATGTGATAGGTACCATACAAAATCCTTAAAGTTTTTTTTTTGTGTTTCTTGATTTTGGGAACTGCAAACGTGTTTGTGATCGATAATTTAAAATAAATAATAATAATGAATGTATGTAAATTTATGTAATAATTTCATGTAACTATTTATATATGCATGATAATCACATCTCCTTTAATATTTATATAATACAGACGTATATATTTTTTTATTTATTATTATATACTTATCTATTATTATATAATTAATATAATTCCAAGTAACTATGATAACTGTATGTGTGAAGCTACATATATTATGTACGAATGAATATAATGGAATCTTCGTATTAAATTTTCACACACTTTTACCCTGTTACTCAATTATCATATTTACTTTTTCACATTTGAAGAATGCAGGGAGATAACCCCACCCGCGTGCCCCTTATGCGCGGGGACCTCGTAGGGAGGATCGGTCCCCGGCCCGAAAAAAAAAAGGGAGATAACCCCAAAAGTACCTATATATTTCCACTTAGACTTTTAGCTATTTAATCAGCTACCTTAACATTATTCGTATGTTTGAAATACAAACAAAATCTTTGTTTAATTAACAATTTATTGTTTTGAGGGTAACGCCATCTGCTACGCTAAAATTTTCCGCTTCCAGAGGCAGGATTTCATTTGTTAAATCCTTGTGGTCGCTACCGACTGCATATGACATTTGACAAGAGTTTCATGCATTGAATCATCCATGGAATAAGAACAGGGTAGTTAAAATGAATATATCACTACATAGTATAAAACCGTTTTCTCTGTCCCTATGAATGCATAAATCTTTAAAACTACGCAACGGATTTTGATGCGGTTTTTTTTAATAGATAGAGTGATTGAAGAGGAAGATTTATATGTATAATAACATCAATTAAATAGTAGGGAAATTAATAATAAATTACAGTTTCTGAAGCGAAGCGATGGCGGGTCGCTAGTTAAATATATAAAAAATCATCCTATACACATCCTATACACCGATCGCCTAGATATGATTTGAGATCACACATTAATGTGATGTTATGAACTATCATTGTTGCGAACCTTTTCAGCATTGAACGTCGGTGGGTTGATGTCGATGAATAGTCTAGAAACCAAAAGAACAAGCTTAGTCAGGAAAGTATCTTTAAATTAGGGATAATGTTAGAAAATGTATCTTTTTGCAGAGATTAAAAACATAAAAGTAATTTTAACATAAAAGTGAATTGTAGTCTCTATTACATTTTTTACTCTGTAATTCTATTAGATGACAGAATTTCCGTAAACTTTCTTTATTGTTACGTCACTTATACAGGGTGTATTCGAGATATGTTTTTAAAACGAAAACGGGACCTAGCGATTCATACGCCAATGCAATTAAAATAATAATAAAAAAAACAAAATGTGTGCAATTCACACGTGGTAGAAGTGAAACCTTCCAAAATTAAAATACAATTATCCTAAACGTCTTAAGTATATGTAAAATTTTGTCATTAGTAAATAATTGTAAGGTAGCGCCCTCTGTGAATTGATATTTTAATTTCACGTATAATCCTAAATTAAAATTCACTACAAGAGCTTTCATACACACGTTAGTATTAAAAAAATCTCACAGATGTCGCTGTATTAAATAGTATGTATATTTCTGTCTCATTCTTTGCTGGCTTCATCCTACACATTTTTGTATTTGTGTCTCTTACCTGTCGTTTTTTCCGTTGCATCCGGTTTGAAATCACAACGATTCTAAAGAAGTTTTCACTTCAAAATCATATTTCAGTCATTTACCTGTTCCACGGAATGAATCATGATTGAAAATTGTTACGTGATATAGTCCTGAAGAAATTCGGTGGAAGTCTGGTTTAGCATTACCTTACTTGTTCGAGAATCTTCTAACAACGAGTATTTTTGCACAGTATCTTAACCGAACAGTGTTTCCCGCTTACTTTAGGATCGTAGTTTTTACCCTCCCCAGCACTTATCTCTTTTGTAACAATTGTACAAGAGAGATTGATGTAGTAGGGGGGGGAGTCACGACCCTCAGTAATGAGAAGAACGATGCAAAGAGGAGAGGAGAGCATTTATCTCTTATGCACTTTATTCATCGGAGTTGATTGGATATGCAACTAAAGCCGGCACAGAAAACAGTAAAAAATATAAAGATCTAATTACTAATGACTTTAGTAGTAGTGCTTTGGTATATTTAGTTAACGATGACGGCGATGGAGAGGCTCTTTTATGTGTTAATGATATTGGTAATGTTAAAGCAGAATGTTCAGAACAAATTGCGGATGTGGTTACGGTAATCAGTTAGTTTATGGTTGGCCACAACATATTTACCGAAACAACCAATTTAATTAAATCTCAGCGAACAACATTGAGTGTGAAGGCTTGGATAAATCCAATTAATCCGAAGTGGATATTAGTGGGATTGTGCCTCGTCACAGATGTAAGCGACGGTCCCAGTATTCGCAAATCTCAATGGAGATGTTCATTAATCATTATATAGAAAGATGGTGGTGATGGTTATGAAAATTAGAGTAGTGATAGGCGTCGATAACTTGGAAATTTCTGACATACAACTATTTTTAACCGACTTCAAAAAAGGAGGAAGTTCTCAATTCGATTGTGTGTTTTTTTTTATTTTATTTTTATTGCTTAGATGGGTGGACGATCTCACAGCCCACCTGGTGTTAAGTGGTTATTGGAGCCCATAGACATCTACAACGTAAATGCGCCACCCATCTTGAGATATAAGTTCTAAGGTCTCAGTATAGTTACAGCGGCTACCCCACCCTTCAAACCGAAACGCACTACTGCTTCACGGCAGAAATAGGCAGGGCGGTGGTACCTACCCGTGCGGACTCACAAGAGGTCCTACCACCAGTGATTACGCAAATTATAATTTTTACGGGTTTTTGACTTTTATTACACGATGTTATTCCTTCACCGTGGAAGTCAATCGTGAACATTTGTTAAGTACGTATTTCATTAGAAAAATTGGTACCCGCTTGCGGGATTCGAACACCGGTGCATCGCAACAACGAATGCACCGGACGTCTTATCCTTTAGGCCACGACGACTTTTATGTTTGTTACCTCATAACTTTTGACTGGGTGAATCGTTTTTGATGATTTTTTTTTATTATAAAGCTGACGTTTACCGTGTGTTCCCATTTCGATTTAGTCCAGTTCTGATAATGGTAACCATGATAAAACCATATAAGTCTTAAATTTGCATTAGGTACGTGCGTGACAAATAGATTAATAACTCAATAACTCAATATCACGCCAACCGATTTCGATGATTATCGTTTTTAGTGTATATTAATTTGTTTTGGATTATCTTTTTCTTTCTCTTTGAAGTTGGTTTTTATTTTTGTTAAATTTTATTTTTATTTAAGATGGTTTTTGTTTTTAAAATGATTGAGATCTGTTTTTTTTCTTTTTAATCTTATACCACATTAAGATAGGTCGGCACAGCATGTCTTCTTATACTGCATAATAATTTGACATGATTTTTATGATCCGCTGTTTGCCTGACGTCAAATGACCAGCTCAAATAACTTAGATCTATTTTACGTAACTTATAGCTAAGTATATTAAATTACAATTTGGGTAAGAAGTGAAAGTTCTTGAAGAAAAACATTATAAGAAATTCGAAAAATCATTTATAAATAAAGCAATATTAATAAAATGTACAATTTTCTGACAAAACAAAGTTATTGTACTGAACGGATCTAATTTCTGTTCTAGTTTTAGTTATTTATTGCATAAATGGGTGATGTAATTGTTGGGTCGCCCTAAGTCTCGGGTGTATTCTATAACGGGTGCTCTAACCTTTTACACTACATGATTACTTCATTGTTGTTAAAAGGGTAGGACAAACGTTCTTTATAAACTAAAATTCGCTTCAATTCGCAATGATTTAACCCCCATTTTGTCGTGGATTCGTCCATCTGTTTACGGAAAAACATCGCACGGAAGATACGCTTTTTCCGAACAGCGCTTTAGTCTAAATTAAACCCTGGGGCATTTTAAATCTTAAATTAAAATGAACGTGTACACAAAACACGGTAAAACTATCTAACTGGTTTTAGTCTAAATAAATTTCCTATTACAGATCTTCGAAGCTCGTGACCTACCGATTAAAGACATGAGCGGTAGCAGTGATCCATACATCAAGGTATTCCTCCTTCCCGACCGCAAGAAGAAGTTTCAGACGAAGGTCCACCGCAAGAACTTGAATCCGGTTTTCAATGAGACCTTTCTCTTCAGGTACGAAGAAATATTTTTTTTATTTTTAAATTTAAACAACCGAAATGCTTTTGATGTTGCCGCAAATCAAAGAAAGGTAATTTAAAAAGAAATGTTTTCATAAAAAATATTTACAAAGCATATTAGACTAACCAAATTATGAAAGTGCAAAGACCTCGTAAATTAAAATTAAGAAGTCTTTAACAGTTCATTGAAAGAGTAAAATTTCGTGTAAGAATATTTTAAGTCGCGGCGTCTACTACAATTGAGATCGATGCTTATCGTAAACTTTTATAATATTCAAACTTTTGAATAGATACAAAATGTACATTTTCGGATACCCTTAATGGAAAATTAAGTACAGGTATCGTCAGCTTCCAGAATGTTTTAAAGGTTTGCTTTTACATTAAGTGGGCAGGTCTAGTAATCTTTTCTTCCAGTTTGATCTGTGAACTCCAACTCGAATGGTTTGTTGAGACCAGAGGTCGAACTGGTTATTCGATTTTAAAGATTTATATTCGACCTATCATTGCGAGTCATATACTTATATCATCAAGCTCAGCAAAGGTCCTAAGCATATCTTATGTAGTTAACAATTTTGTTGATATGCAAATGATAATTAACGCGCTCTGCATAATTAGCTGGTTACCAGAATCTATCGAATATGATCAAATTTATATCGTTCGTACATCGTCCCAAATATTTTACAACTTAAAAGAGAATTTGCTTTGAGATCTTTGGAACTATCAGTTAGATTTTGAATTAGTTGGATTGTTTGGCGAGTAAGTTTCATGGTCATGTTATTCTAGGAAACGGTCCAAACTCAGTCTTTAGCTGGAGCGAAACTGAAAATCACACTTAGTTCAAAAATAAAATTATGTTCCTCACAAGTACTAACTATAAGAGAACGTGTATTAAATTTGTTCAATTTGAAACGCACATAAAATATAGCCAGGACAAAGGATTGTAAAATATTGTACATTTGTACGTCTGCAGAGTCAATAGAACAGTTATATTCCACTGTCATTGTCGTTCTGCAATTGAAATCAAAAGTTATGGATACACTAAGTATAGATATTACTTTTAAATAAAAGTTTTGTAAAAGAAAGCTCATATATGAAATTTTTTTTTATTGGAAGTTCGAGAGAGTGCTTTTGGAAATTCCAATTTTACGAATTGATATTACGGCATGAGTACGTGATTTTAATCATTTATGCATTAGCAGAGTTAGGCGTACATTTTTTTTTACCAAGTTACACTATGAGCAATGGTTAGGGAAAAGTTACTACTTCTTGGTAAAAAGACCAGATATTTCCCTGAAATTTCTTTTTATTGAGCTAACTGAATGAGAACGCGGCCCTCATACAAAATTTATATTTGATAATAAAAAACGCGTGTGGCACTTGGGGACTGCCGCGGTAAAATTATTGCATAGCATTTTTTATCGACTTGTGCAATTATAATCAGACAATAATAATTTAATCTTAAAACAATAATAAAATAAGACCACACTATATTTATAAACATTAACAAAATCAAAACATTAACTGTTCCCTCTCACACTCATAAGCTAGACCGCGCGAGAGAGATATGGGCAGACTTTTCATGATGCGCATGCAGTGCGACGTCACGCCGCGCGCTTATTCATAAACACTACACAAGCGCAACGTCTGATTGTGTTGAACGCGAGCTATATGGCTGGCAGAATGGGGGTGTTCGGTTTTATTTTCGTTACGGAATTTCTTGATTCGGTCGCCGCGCTCAAAGCCCGCGATAAGATATATGCAATAGCTTAAAAAAAGATAAAATTACGTAAAAGCAGCGTATAAGATGAAATACTTGATACGTTTATTACATGATGCTTTTTAATTGATATTATAAAGGATTATTTCTCAAAACAGTGTACCGTACGAGGAGCTGCGCCAACGTTATCTGCAGTTTTCCGTGTACGATTTCGACCGGTTCAGCCGTCATGATCTGATCGGGCATGTTGTGCTGAAGGGACTACTGGAATCCGCTGACTTGGATCAGGAGATCGAATACACAATGAACATATTGGCTGCACCTCAGGTAAGATTTGGGACTACACTAATTTTAGTAAGTGGGAGGGATTTTTTAATTTGCATCTTGGATTTTAGGAGCTTGGCAAATAATTGCCCGACATCTCGACTCATGGAATCTTTAAGAGTTAAAAGTTAGTCATTTTTGCATACTATTTGATCGTAATTCCTAACAAGGTGTGTGATAACAAAAAGCGCGTTGCTGTGGGACTAAGCCTTATGATCTAGCATCATAATAGTCTACCTGGCTATTGATCAAAATATTTTGCTGTAGCTTCGGCGGCCTCTGTTCAATTCCTATAATTCGTCTTTTTCTTCCTATTTTGAACATAGGCTCGTAAAAAAAAATTTATTTATTTTTTTATTGCTTAGATAGGTGGACGAGCTCACAGCCCACCTGGTGTTAAGTGGTTACTGGGGCCCATAGACATCTACAACGTAGACGCGCCACCCACCTTGAGATACAAGTTCTAAGGTCTCAGTATAGTTACAACGGCTGCCCACCCTTCAAACCGAAACGCATTACTGCTTCACGGCAGAAATAGGTAGGGCGGTGGTACCTATCCGTGCGGACTCACAAGTGGTCCTACCACCAGTAATTACGCAAATTATAATTTTTGCGGGTTTGATTTTTATTACACGATGTTATTCCTTCACCGTGGAAGTTAATCGTGAACATTTGTTGAGTACGTATTTCATTAGAAAAATTATATTCTTTTAGTTCGTCTATTATTACGTTTTACTGATGTATTATTCTAGTTATGATGTAATATTTAATACAATCAACAATATTAGGTGAAGCGACTTTTGGGAATTTAATTTTGCCCGTTTATACCTGTTTTACAAGGAAATTACCTTCTGGCAGTTACCCCATTATTAAATCTGTTGTAGAACGCGCAATAAAGAATGGAAGCACGTCGTGTCGAGTCTTTTTTTTCATTATAGTTCAACAAAGACAAATCGAGACGCAATTGTCTCTAGTTGGAACTCGTGGGTTGGTTATTTGTAAGAAAATGATATTGCTCATATAACATTATTTTTGATGAAATTTCGCCGGAAAGCAAAATAAAGCGACAATCGTTCACACGTTGATATGTAATAAAACTTACATAATATATGTCCGACGTGTTTCTACATTTATTTTCAGTCCGAAAAGGGCTACATTACCTAAAAATTCAGATGGATTTAATGAAACAGAATAACTTAATGTACTCACCTCTACATTTAGTGATGTCTAAATCTACTCAATGTAGACCAGGTAGCCAGACATTTTGATTTTTTTTAAATGGCGCGTTAATTTCACAAGGCCCTTCTAAATGAATGCTTATTACATCTGACGTCACTTGAGGCAATAATATACACCCAGTCAATCGAATCTCCTAAAGTTTCTTGACAGCAATTATTTAAAAATCACATGACAAGTTGTTATTGGTTAGCTTTATATTAAAAAACTAGCTGACCCGGCAGACTTCGTAGTGCCTCGATCGATAAATAAAAGACCTAAACTTTTGTATAAAATAAACTTAAAACAAACAAAAGGAATCCGTCCGACGGGGGACATCAAAGAAAAAACAAATTTTTTATAGTTTTTTTTAATTCCACGCATTTTCATATTTATCTTTACCTTTTAAACCTTTTCTGGACTTTCACAAATGATTCAAGACCAAAATTAGCCAAATCGGTGCAGCCGTTCTTGAGTTTTAGCGCGACTAACGAACAGCAATTCATTTTTATATATATAGATACCAGAATGAAACTATCAATACGAAATATGAATGAGCAAAGATAAAATATTTTCTCGTATGGTTTTGTATTGTTTAGTGGTATACAAAGCCATGGAGTGTTACCAATTTTAAGAAAATATGCATATAGTTATTTTTATGTCAAAAACAAAAGATAACATGAGTCTAAATGTTGAGATGTTAGTGATTTTTGAATTTCAATCATTGGGCAAACACTAGTACACAGAAAGATACCTTATAGCTTTTACTTCTTAACATGTTATGTTACTGATGTCCGATGTACTGATTATCTATTTCGAGTCTTGTTGCACAGAATTGACGTGTTGACGTATTGACAGAGTTGACGCGTTAGCGTTTTTTTTAATGAATGATGGATTACTGGCGGTCTGGAGGTCTCTTCAGTTTCACCAGGACAAGTGGGAGTTAGCGTCTCAGCTGGATGTGCTTCGACTCGACGATTGATGGATACCATTTAATTTTGATCCATTAATATTAAATTACCTTAACATTTTTGATATTCATAAATTCCTGATAGGAGTTTCAATGCTAATTAAATTTACGGGATTTCTATCGAAACTGTGAGCGTCTGAAAACTTTAAAAATTAATTGTTTTGTTGTAAACTTTAAGTACATTAAATCTTAATGGTGTAACATTGTTACTCACGCTTCGAGCTTTGAAAGGGTTGAAAAGCTTGGAAATTCGTTTTTTTCTGAGAAATAAATTAATTATACATTTGTTTTCTAAGTTTTCTTTGATGGTAGGACAGCCTAAGGTTAGACAGGCGCAAACTTACGAATTATACGATAAATGACTGGTGGTAGGACGTCTTGTGAGTCCACACGGGTAGGTACCATCGCCCTGCCCATTTCTGCCATGAAGCAGTAATGCGTTTCGGTTTGAAGGGTAGGGAAGGGTACTGTAAAAACGGAGGCCTTAGAACTCATATTTCTTCTTCGGGCTTCTGTAACCACTTAACACCAGCTGGGCTGGGGGCTTAACCAACCACCAAACCAATAAAATAAAAATAAAAGAAAAGATATTTCTCAAGCTTACTGATGGTAGATTGGCGAGTGATTTTAAAAAAATACATCCAAATATAATCTCTAAACCTATACTCGTAATGAGGACTCCATTGAGCGGTTGGTGGTGCAAGGGAAAGTCGAGGTCAAAAGATCTCGCGGACGATCTCCAACACGATGGACCGACCTCATAAAATCTGTTACTCACTCCAACATAAATGTTTGCTCTCACTCTGCGAAACATCGTGCCACATGGCGTCGCATCGCGAGAGCATCGGTATCGCAGGATCCGACTGATGCATGACCACGACCACTCTGTCAAGAGTGTACGAATAGGAAGAAACCTATACTATGCTATGTTACGAGGTCGACCTTTTCATGTAATGATTTCAACAAAAGAGAAACGGTGACAATGAAACCGTGATACACCAAATTTGGAATAATGTTTACGGCGTATTCTGGGGCCAGAATTTGGCGACATAACGGAGGCTAATGTCGGGTAGCATTTTCCGAAATTCCGCACACAATCCTGTGCGAACGTTCGGTCGTTAATCAACTGCTTTTCTCACGATTATTCAGGTAACTTAATATCAGAATAACGAGCGCCAGGGTTAGGTGAACTGAAAAAAAAAAATACTTTTAAGAGAAGTGTTGAGTAGCTTGAGATGTGTGAAGAGATACTAGTCGATCTGTTTAATGTCATAGATAATACACATAAATTAGTTATAGATAAGCAACTCAAGCACTCCACAAAAATCATTACGGGCGTCGACAACTAGATGGCTTCGCTTCGATTAGTTTTTTCATTGCTCCTGTAGATGGCAGTAACATATTACCTATCCTATATTTTATTTTTAATGACGGATTTTGTAAATTTTCAGAAACCATAAATTGATAGAATTTAATCAATTTGTCTATAGTAAATAAAGACTTGTATGATTTATTAATTTTTTATATTCTTTATTTAGTTAAACAATAATTAAATGCGTTAATTTTAATAAAATATAAGTTTAAAGGCATTCGCTACTAGATGTCGCTAGTTTCCGTACAGACAAAATATTTGTCTTAAAGTATCGCAGTTTCAGGGCCCTGTATAATGTTTTTTTAGACCTTCAACCGTCTCAGGCACAAATACGTCACATATGATCAAGTTGCGTACAGTCATTTAGTGAAGATGCCCTGTTAATTTTCAAAATACTAGCTGTCCAATTGGAAATATTCTATTTGATGTTTGTACACAGCGCTTACCACGTCTTTTTACGACATAGCTAATCACTACTAAGTATACAAAATTTAAATTCTTATCAATATAATTTTATTGAAATATACCATAATATTATCAATTTATCATATTACACTATTGGACATCTATTAAAACTGTTGGGTAAAAAGGTTTTTTTTGGATTAAAGATATCGTACACTTTCGTTTCGTTAAATAATCAACCAAAAATGTCTATCATCATAAAAAAAGTCATCATGTCATTAGTCTATCATCATTGTTAGGCGTTATGCACTCGGTTTATTCTAGACTGTAAAATCTGGAACTTTCCTATCTCAAATAACCTTATGCTTACAAAGCTCATGTTCGACATGAAATTAAACTTAAAAGCTTAGATTTTTTAAATAGAGGCTGGTTAACACAATATTAAAAAATATGACAAATAAGACCTTTTTATTGCTTTGATGGGTGGACGAGCTTACGGTCCTCCTGGTGTTAAGTGGTAGCCGGTAGACATCAACAATGTAAATGGCGTCATTCACCTTGGGAGATGAATTCTAAGTTTTAATTTTTTATAATAAACATCCTCAGTCTTCAACGACCAAGAACACTGTCAAGCCTTCGAAAAGTAGGAATTAATATAGTGACTATAAAAAATACGAGATTAAATCGTAAAAACGTCATTAATTTTGTCTACAACTCGTAAAAAATCAAAGAATATATTACAACATATCAGGTAAGACATTTCAGATGTCAAAAATACTTATATTTCATGATAACAGATATATTTTTAGGGGCACATTTTTACACGGTAACCCTGTTCAAATTTCAAGGACATCCGGGGCCCTTGTCATACACCCTGACAGCATCCTTGAGGTGTTTCATTTCTCGAATATTAAATATCACAATGTGAGCAAGAGTTTTCTTTGTAAAGGCTTTATGATCGTAATCGTAGAGTAAAAACCAATTTTCAAAAGAAAAGAAGAAAGAAATATATGTTTTTTGTAGAATTTTCAATTCCGTCTATTT